GCTGCGTGGGAGCCTGGCCGAGCAAGGCTAACAGGTAGATCCAGAAAAATGCATTCCCTCGAAACTTTGACTGGCCAAACCAGACAGAGCGCAAAAGCTCGAACAATCCGTGCAGGGTGTGTGTTCGTGTTTACGCGCCTGGAATGCACATACTGCCAAAAGGTGGCAAGCCACCGGATTTGGTTTGGGGGGAAGCCAGGCGCCGGTACCAAGTGCGCAGAGGAGTTTGAGGAAGATCAAATCAAATGTGATGCAAAATACAGAGTAGCAAGCCCTGTCGAGCCGAGTGAGCCATGGGGTAAGACACGTGTCTGCTCTATCGATGAAAGAAACAGTGGATATAAAAAAGCCAGGTGCATGGGATCCTTTGCTGTGCTTGCGCAAGTAAAGCTTTTGCTAACTTGGCCCCTGCTGCTCTCTTTACACTTGCAAGTGAACAGCAACTCCTGCCTACATGCTACGAAAACTGCATGAGGTCCAGCGCTGACTTGAAAAACCCACCAGTTCTGCAGCTGGTCCAACCTTGTAGTGATCAGGCACTGTCAGCTTGGAAATTGTCCTTGGCAAAGGAGCTTAGGAGTTTGGTATGTGCGGTGATGGCCAACTTCCTCATATTCATCCAAAAACGATAGTATGCAAATGGACCCCGAACAAAACTATTGGATTTAGCTTGCCAAGGCCTCCCGTTCTCCGTCCTACTGATCTATTCTGACCCAAATGAGATGCAAACAGCACATGTATGATGATCCCCTTGATCAAGAACGACGTCGGACTTGCACCAAGGCCAACCTTCTGGGTGCAGCCCGCTCCATCTTCAACCCCGCGTTCAAAGAAGCCCGAAAGACATAGACGTAGCCCGCAATTGTCTTCGCTGCTTGCTTGCTCGCTTGCTTGCTTGCTCGCTTGCTTGCTCGCTTGCTGGCTGCCTTGCTTGCTCGCTGTCTTGTTGTATCGCTTGCTCGCTCGCTCGCTGGCTTGCTTGCTTGCTTGCCGAATTTTGGTGCAGGGTCGAGGTTTGGCGCTTGCCGCGTTTGGCTTTTCCTTTCCGGTCAAGGTTTAGGGTTTAGGTTTGTAGTTGTGTTTGGTCTTTGGCTTACGGTTCACGTTTTTAGGGTTGAGGACAAAGGCTCTGGGATTGGTTTGCACTCTCCAGCACGAAGACACGGTGGGCTTTCGTTGCACGCAACACTTACATTTTGGCCAAAATGAAACCTGGTTCGAAGTACGCGCTGAGTGCGTTGCTCTCGGTACACTGAATCCGGAAACAGCCTCTCCTGGAGGTACCTGAACGGAAAACACTCAACTGCATTCAACCTGCGCGAAAATATCCGTTGCCGCGGAACCCACAAAACAAAACATCTAGGGCTCTGGTGCGGCTTGGCCAGCTGAAAGCATCACAAGCAACGTTGCAACAAATCAGCAGCGCTTAGGGTCATGGTTGCGCTTTGAGCAAAGCAACGTACCTGATCAACACTTCAGTTCTGGGAGCACGTGGTCTTGAGGTCTGGCGCCTCCTCTGAGTAGACGGCTCGAGAGCCTGACCTCGTGATGCATGAGCAGCAAGGAAGGCTAGACATGTAGTTCGGAGGAATCCAAAACAACCTCGGTCCGACTGACAAAACAACATGGCCTCTGAATTAGGATCCTCAATCATTTCGGTATGGGAGTCTAAGGTTGGGAGCCCAACATAAGAATTTACCCCTTCCAGCATGTTTTGGCAATCATATGACAGGCCTTGACCCAAACAGTGGCTGAAGTAGGTTGCGAATGGATGTGTTGCATCATGTTGCATCTGTCGGAAGCAACAGTCGGCCGAGTAAGAATGGAAATCTCAGCTGCTAGTGAGTCACATAACACATCCGTGTTAATGTGTCTTTCAGGCCGTGCATGCACGCTCGCCGCTGGGGGCAAACGGAAAGGGCAAGGCTTTTTCTGCGCTGGTCACACACACACACACACACCCCTCACGTTTGTTTTGCACGGCGCCAGTCAAGACGGGGCCCATACACCGCCGCAGCCGCAGGGCAAGTTTGCCGCGCTTGCAACAGTTCATGCGTGCAAATCATATGTACTGGGTAGATGTTGACCCAACATGTTGAGTAGACGGGGGGGGCTCATGCTTCTTGTTACTGCTTCACAGATCTTCCGTGACAGAAGCACCCAAACAAAGCCTGATTTAGGAACGCTTTTTGTAGGTGCATGTTGCTGGCGGTTCTTCAACAGAAAGCCAGCTGAAGCCTTGACTCAGTACATGGATGCTGTGACTCGAAACATCAATACCGGACACCTAGCTGCATCATGAGCCTGAAACTGAAGCGTGAAAACGCACGATTCTGAAGATGTCACGTGGCCGTACTCCAACTCATGAGTTGGAGTACGGCGGACATTGGCTTCTTTTGGTTGGTAGCAACTTAGTATGCTTGCAAGCATGTTCCATAAGTGAATCCTTGCAACATGCAACGTTTGATTATGTTTGATTGCCTTTCAGCAAGGCAGTGTTGCAAGAAGCAATTCTTCAGGGCCACAGCATGCCCACGGAGACTCTCACCGAGTGCACGCTACTCCACATTCGGCCAGGCTCCCGCACGAGGCCTCGCTCGGCTTCAATGCAGGCGGTGGCACCTGGCACGCGACTGCCGGAACGGCCAGAAATTGCAATCGGCCTCATTTGTTGCCAAGCTCGATGAAGCTGGTGTATTCTGTCAGGCGTGATATCGAGTGAATGCTGCAATGCTAGGAACGGCGGGCATGTGACGTGATGTGAAATGCGTAGGATTGCCCATTAGTCTTATTTAGGCAGGACCGTTGCGAGTAGCTCACATCCTTGGCAGGGAAGGAAAATCATGGCAATCACAGTGTGAAGTAGAAGCAACGCGCAATACTCAGCTTGCAACACTTCAAATGCAAAGAAGAATGAACGAGCCGCCAAGGTCATGAGGAATGGCGCTCCAGCGTGCATCCGCAAGCCGTCGGGAAGTGCACTGCCGCGCAACAAGAACGCTCTGATCGCCTCCACTCTTTGCATCAAGCTTCGCAGCTGGGTATGGTAGATGGCATGTCACCCCTGCGAGTTAGCTTTCAACTAATTAAATGGGACATAATGGGACATGGATTCAAAAGCTTAGTTGACTCGCGCAAATGACAGCTTAAATGGGACTCGGTCTTGACAGCTGTCAAATGCCCGAGCTGAATCCCCAAGAACCAGCCTCCCAGGAAGCCAGGAAGAGCGCATGCTGCGTGGCGCGCTTGGGCACATGCGAGAGCGCGGCTCCTGATGCAAGGCTTGGACGGGGCCCATGGTCTCAGTCTTGGGGAAATGCGCATGGACATCAATACCTCAAGCTGGTTGGTCCGAAAAGGCAGGATCTCAAAATGAGGAGGTTAGAACCTGCTTCACTTGCTGTCCCACGCCAGCTCCGAAGGCCTAGACTACACCTGAAACCCTGACATGACTGTCCTAGGCATGTTTCTACCTGGGTGCGCTGCAGAAATCAAAATGGCGGGAGACATGGATGATGGCCGAAGAAAATCATCAATTACAACATGGCCTGATGTCGCATAATCATTCAAATACGATGTGTGCGTGTGTTTTCCCCTTCAGCTTCCTGCATTGACCAGTGCTCCCGCGCTAGCTGACCTGCGAAGAAGCTGGGAAGAATGAATTATCACCAAGCGGCGGCTGTGAATGCTACTCCCAACGGTGGGACCAAATGATGTAATCCATGCCGGGCAAAGTGTGTGAAGTCCTTCAACTTGGACTATGTTCAATCCAGAAAGCCCGTTGTATTTGCAAGAGTCCAACTCTTCCGTAACAAGCTGTGCTTGGGTGGGGTGTGGCAAAGCAGCGAATGGAAATCGGCTTGAAAGGCTGCTAGAGGCTGTTGCAAGCACAAACAAAGCATTTTGAATACAGTTGCTGTCCATCAACAAACCAATGAATCGACTTGCCGCTTTGAGCCATGTCACAAAAAGAGAAAGCTTGGTAGGGTGGCCAAGGTGCACATAAAAACAGAGATCATGGTGGCGTCTCCTCTCAAGCAAAAGTGAACGAAGGAAACTCAGCTGCTCAAAGTCGCAATCCTTGACTCCTACCAGTGCCACAGTTGAAAGTCTGCCTCCCAAGCACCGACCTGAGGCTTTGGCTTGCCAAGGCCGGCCATGCTGCCTGGTCAAGCAGAGTCATCAATTCATCTCGAGCATTTGCCTTGAGAGAATCGCCTGCCGGTGCCCATTACATTGTTGTCAGTGCACAAGGCCTCCGAAAATGACGATTGGTGCAAAGTGAATCAATGTGTTTGCCCGCCCTCGTCTGGCCTGCGCGCAGGCCCGATCAGAAGGGATCTCTTGAGACGGCCAGCAGAGCAACCAAGCCCCAAACCTGGTTTCTTCGCTTCACCACTTGGCACCAGCTCCATGTCAACTTTTGCAGGCACTTGCCAGTGCCTTCCCGAGCACCGCACGTTCAGTAAAAGTGTCCCAGTCAACTCGAATCTAGAAGTGATCAACCCACCGGGAAAAATATGAAATCAGTTGCAGAAGACGAAGAAAGAAAAGCCAGTGCAAGTGACGCCTGGCTTTACCAGCTTGGGCGGCCAACATCTTCGTGAGTCCAATGCTATTGACACCCAGTTCAAAGGAGTAATTGATATGAAACTGAACAAGCGCAAAAATCCCGCTCTGACAACAGGGCAATGTCCAAACATATTTTACAAATTATATATCTATGAGGCAAGGGACAACTTCGCACAGCTCTTTCTAGGTGACCACATCGCTTCAGGCTCCGCCTTAGAGCCCAAGAGAGAGGTAGCGATCTGCCCTCGGAAATGGTGAGGCTAAGTCCGAAACGGGAGCGAGGCTCACAGCGTGCCTTTAAACTTGCAGTCCACAAGTGCAGAGCCACACTGCCGGGCTGAGCCGAAGTAAATTTTGGGCCAAAAGAACTCCTGCAAGCTGGCAGGGATGAGAACATCTCCTCCACTATCCAAGGGTCAAACAGCCCAGCTCTGCCACCGCACGATGCTGAAGCAGCTGAGAGACATGAGCTGGAGTGACCACCTAGAATCACTTGGGTGACTACTGCTAGAACCATTCAAAGAGCCGCTGCAAATTGGCCACTCCAAGTCAGTAAGCAGCTCGAACAGCTAATGCCCAAATCGCCAATTCCCAGGTGTTGCGATTGCAAGGAGTGCAGTAATTGAGTCGTTCCATCTCTTTGGCTACTGGGTTGGCCATGTGTTGGGCGCAAAGGAAAACGTCCTAGAGCAAAATAAGTCCCAACTCCATCTAAACGAGGATGGACATACCGGCTGGGCTTTATGCGGAAAATTATTGGATTGAGCTATTCAAGCTAGTCAAGGGGGCATTTCTCTGCCCGCAAATAGTCATATTACGTCCCACCCCCTTCTTCAACCGCTTCTTGCAGTCTCCAGAAATAGCGAGTTCCTGGCACTCAGGAAGCTGTAATAGCAAATGCCTATGGCATTGCTGCTGAAAAATATTATCCTCAAGGGATGGATAATGATTCACATCTTCTGACAGGGCATGCTTGCAGGCCGTTGCCATGGCTCTAAGATCTTGCCTGAAAGGACCAACGTACAGGTGAATACGGCTTGCAGCATCCAGCCTTTCCAAAGCAAGCGTGACAGCTTCAGGCCCCTTCATGGGTAGCAGCCCATTGTGATGCCATGCATCTTGCGCCGCAGTGTCTTGTTCGCAGGATTTCCTCGCATGTCGTGACTCTCGTAGGTCACATGAGCGCTGGGAGGAAACACCTCAGCTCTCAATGCTCACCTCCGCTGAAGGGCTGTTGATTGCTGCAGGGGTTTGGCCGAAGACCCGCATGCAAGGGGCACTCTTGAAGAAACACACTGCAAATACTCGATGGAAACTCAGAAATGGGAGAGAGTCAGCAATGAGTCTGCATCATGTTCTCAGGGCTCGGCGTTGTTGTGCATCACTGGACGTGTCTCGCAGCCACCCTTCGTCAAGTTGTTCCAAGTGGCCTGTTGCAGCTCTAGGTCCGAGGCAGAAATTGATGTGGCAGGTGTTGTTTCAAGAATGTGACAGTATCCTAGTCTCCCAGCATGAACAGCCGGGGAGGATGCGCCGTGCAGGCCCACAATAGTTGGTTCTCCACTGGCTTCACAGCGAGCAAAAGAGGCTTCACGGAGTTCAAGTATCTATCCAACGTTGTACCACAAGAGCCCCAATACCACAGCCAAAGAAACCTCTTGCCAACATATTGGCCAACATGACTTGTCAAGTCTTGAGCTGGGCCACCAGCCAACTCAACAAATCCAAGGAGTTGGCTTCGACTGATGGATATTGATGAAGCTTCGCCGCATTTCGGGCGACTCCTCTCGACGCGCCTTGTTCAGCTCCGCCGCTCTCGCCGGTAACACTTTTGGCGCAGCCTAGCCGAAACACAAATATATCGCTCCCAATGTGCATTCTTGGGTCCGTCCTCAGGGCATGGCCCTATGGCATTGGGAAACGCGACGTGCAGTCAACTTGTGCACACCGTGACGAGCAATGGCAATTGCAGCAGTAGAGGGATCTCTGCAGCCAGCGAACAAATGCGCAGGACTTTGTATACAAAAAAACTCCAAAAAATGGATTAGCCTGCACACAACACAGAAATCACTATGCTCTTGCGAAATACCGAAAGCCAATGAGAGCCAATGCATTCGAAGATGCCGTGACCATGCGTCAAACATATATAATGACGCAAAGTCCTTTTTTGCTAGGACGTTCAGTAGCTTCGGCTTAGGGCAACTTCCTACGTGCTGGTAAGAGCATGCAAAAGCGGCATCCGCACTAGGGCTGCCGAGGCCCTTTCTGGACGTGCGGAACTTGCAGCCGTTCCACACTTCTTGATATTCATGCAGGACACAAGGCGTCATGCCTTGCTTCATGAGGCTCGCGCAGTTCATCAAATGTATTCAAATGTCACAAACTCGTTGCCCGCCTTCACGGCAGTGGGCGGTCTGTTTGTCTCCTGGCCAGCTCGCATTGTGATAGCCCCCCCCCCACTTGGTTTATGGATGTTCCCCTAGACCTTCAGCTTGTGATGACAAGTGTCAGAGCTGGTGCAAGCTGCCTTGAAAGGTCTTTTAACAAAGCGACCTTTCATGAGCAGGCGGCCTTGTCTGGCGAACGACGCAGGATACAAGACATTTCTGAGGTTGCGACATGGAGCGTCTCTATGACTGCAAGGTTTTCACCTTGTTCGTACCTGAAACAGGCAGGCGATGTGTTTGTCTAGCCCGGTGCTTCCCCGAGGTTGGATTCTCAACATTGTAAATTGATGACAATCTGCCAGCTTCAAATGAAGGCAATTTCAAGCTGACCTGCTTCTTGCTTTTGGTTGCTTCCAGCGATTTTCTGGCTGTTTGGAACTCCACCGGGTCACGTCTTGGCCCTAACTTTCAGGCCATCCGCCTCAATGCTGGTCACCGGGCATCTCCGAACCTGAGACACAGCTCGAGGCTGCCGCATAAAGACAAATGGCATTGGCGATCGTGAACGCTCTCTGCCTGCTTTCCAGTTTTCCGTTGCCCAAGAATTCTGAACAGAAATAGGGAGAGAGGAAATGGAAAAGACGGGCCAATGGTTCTATGCACCATGTTGCAAGAAGGCCAGCACGTTTCGAACTTGAGCTTCACCAACAAAGCGAAGCATTCAGCGTTCTCCAGATTTGTGCACTGGAATCTCTCTTTGCAACTCAGATCCAGGCAGGCACCTTCTTGGTGGTGAATGGACCCGGCACAGTTCGAGTCCCCATCAGCCTAGTCATGACTTGCAGCACTCGAGAGACACTTAGCAGTGCTCCAACAACACGGTGTCTGCAGTCTGCACAGAACACAAAGTCTCAGCTCGTGCAAGGCGAGTGCAACCACCTGTGCACCGGCCAAAGGCCCGTGCCAATCTGGAGCATCTCCCGAGACAGCCGTGATCTGGATGTCACCCTAGCACATGCGCAGTGAACACCTCTGGTTGACAACCAAACACGCCAATCTTCGTCTCTCTCTCTCTCTCTCTCTCTCTCTCCCTGGCTCTCAATTTGGGCCGTTTTGGGGGCAGTGAGGAATCTCGTCGACTACAGGAACATTGCGTTGAGTTGCAGCAACCCCTTGGTTCTTCATTCCCTGCACCTTTGCATGCTACTCGGGTGCGCACCCTGCTAACTCGGCCATTGTGCCCATAGCCAGTGTGGTTCTTGGCCTGCATCACGGTTCACATTCCGGGAGCCATGCAAATCGACAAAGCTTTCTATGCTGTGATTGCGCGAGGAAGCTGGCATGATGGTTGCAGTGCCGCTGCCGGCTTCCATCCGCACAAAACACTAGGGGGGTGGGAGGGATGCAAATTCGTACTCCTCCAACAGCCCACCTTCTGCAGCAGCCAAATGTAGGACCTGATGCAAAGCGACACTCGATTCCTTGCAGACCTATTGAAGCCAACAGCCGGCCTAAGATGATGACGTCTCCATAGCGCTACGGTCATCCATGCAACCGTCACAAGCCGAAACGTGAAAAAACTACCTCGACATCAACGGGGCGACGTGGCCCCTGCCACGTGCTAGAGCTGCTAGGGAGCAAGCCCCTGCTGATCAGCTGCCACGAGGCGCTTTGCCTCCGACTGGCCCAGGGGATGATACCAACCTCGGAGCACAGTGACGACACCGCTGCCTTGCAGCTACTGCCCACGTATCCGTGCCGTGCTTCTTGCTTACCAGGCACCATATAGTACGCGAGGCGCAGTCAACAGGCTTACCATAAAAAATGGCTGAGAATCTTGACCATTGCTCAGATATCTGTTGTGATGATTGGCATTGGGGTGTGGTGTTTACTAGCAAACCTTGGACGATTGCCGTCGAGGGGACCCACAAGATTGCATGCAGATTTGCCCGATAGAGCCATAGCAAACAGACAATGGCAAATACCAGCCCACCTTCTGGACTCTATGCTCCTCGCCATGCTTGTTGATCTCGTATCTGTGGCTGCCCTGACGGCTGCAGCAGGGAAGGTCAGAAAAAGAGAACAAGGTTCTGGGTATCGATGTCTCAGAAGGCCTGATTACTGAAAGTGTCCTTGGACCTGCTTTGTAAGCGGGGCGTCCATTATAGAACATGTTTGTCCTCATTCAGGATCTCGCGAAT